ATTTCGCGAAAAATAATTTTTGTTTTCTTAAAAAAAAGATTATATAGATTGATAAAATAGGGTATGACGAATCCCTTGAATAAGTTTTGTAACACTGCAATTTCTTAATCTCAAGAAATTGCAATTTTAAGATTTGCATTCAGGTGATGCAATTCTTTTGACCGCCACTGTATTTTTGGCCTTTTCCGGCAGTTTACAAAGGGCTATATGTTTAAATCTTAGTAAGCTTCTGACGCTGTCTATTATTCATGAGATCGTGTTTAATGACATTATTTTTATCATTAATTGAAATGATTGAATTTGCATGTACTGTATGTATACAGAGAAGCCTGAACTAATCTGAATAATAGGGAGTAGAGATTTATTTTATATTAATTTACACGATTTCAGACACTCGAGAAATCATAATTCAGACTTTTTTTTGTTGAAACCAAATAATACATATAAAATTACTCTCACTATATCGGATTTTCTTGTAAATTGGAATATTTAATATTGTTAAATTATTTTTATAATTCACGGTCAAGAAGGCTTCTTTTACAGTTGAATGTAATACAAGACATGAGGTTACCAAAAAATACGTACTTAACCAAGAAAAGTAATTGATATTCTAAAAAAGAAATGATATTCGTAGGCCGAAATTTTAGAAGAAAATCCACATTTTCTCAAAAAAAAAAAAAAAGTCGTAAATGGTTTTAAAACTTAGCCTAGAAAAAGCCTTAAAAAATTCGGAAAAAAGATTTAAGGAATTAGAACAAAGTAAAAAGGAAGCCGATGATGAAAATCAATTGTTACTCTCCTTTTTATTAAATGAAATTGGTAGCAAGGATATAGAAAATTTAAAAAAATTATTAGCAGGACAGAAACTTATTGAAATATTGACTGAATTAGATGTCCGAAAGCAAGACATTCAAAGCGAAGTAAAGGTAAAAGAGCGAAATGAAGAATCCAAAGCTAAGCAAATAATATTGATGTTTTAGAAGAAAAGATCAAAGAACAAGAAAAATCCCAATGCAAGATTACTGAATTAGAAGAAACGATTGGAGAACAAGAAAATAAAGTTAAATCCATGAATGAAACTATTAATGTTTTAAAAGAAAAATTTAAAGGACCCTATAATTGCGGCGAAAAACCCTAAACCCATTTTGGCAAAAGTCGAAACTATTCAGAAATTGTTTCGACAGTTTCGACGGGTTTCGACAGTTTCGTTGGGTTTCGACGGGTTTCGATGGGTTTCGATGGGTCGCGAAAGTTTCGACGGTTTCGACGGTTTCGATAACAACTTTGCGAATTCTTAAAAAGGACGTGAATATATACTATCTCACATAGACTATTGC